ATAGCCCAGGTTCGGAGGAACTCATGCTAAAATAGCCAGTGCCTGGCTCATAGCCCACTGGGATTTCTCCCTGGAAGATTCCTCACTGCAGAGTATTGGATGCGTTGACATGAAGTAAAGCCTGAAACACGATACGATAATCAAAACTGATCATCTGCATTTCTAAATAAAAGTGTATCAGTATATAATCTTGTATGAGCTGTAATGTGGAAAGCATCTTAGCTTAAAACAGCTTAGTTTCTTCTATGATTGTTGTAACCAATTTATGGCTACTTGGTGGATGAATCTATATTGTGATATCTATTTGACCCTAATAAAGTTATTGCATACAATGTGCTTTTTTCAGAGTATGATAATATTAAAATGTCACTGCAAAATAACCAAGATGGTGGACAGAATATCATCTCCGTGCTTGACCTTATTGGTCATATTCTTATTGTTTTCCAACACCTTTAAGAGCATTGTTTCAATGTGCAGTAGAATACGAGATGATTCTGTGGATACTTGTCTCTAATGGTCACTATCACAAGTTAAAATATATATATATATTAAACTGTGCAATTTAATATCTGCCCACCTCTATGCCTCTCTTTCCATCTATCAATAGGACTAGCCTAGTGCTGTGCTAATATCCCAGTTCTGTAGATTGCTGGACAAACCATTTCTCAAGCTGTAGAAAAGACAGGCTTGAATAACTAAATGAGAGCAAAATCCAATTTTCTGGGTCAGTGAAAATTTTTATTTTGGCTTTCTGTTCTTTTGTTCCTTCTTTTATACATTTGGAAAAAGCTAAATAGAGGCAAGTCAGAAGAGAATGAAATCTGTGCTTGTGGGGAGGGATGGCTGTGTCATGACAGCTGTTCATGTCTCATTCTACTATCCTCTCTTTCACTCATTATCCTTGTGTTGTTTGTTGTTGTTGTTGTTGTTGTTTTTTAAATCTGCTTTGTATTAATTGAACAGGAATGCTCTAAACTGTGTCCTCCAGGCTTCTCTCTGAGAAGATTTTTTCGTGCAATCCATCGTCATCAGCCTTTCCTTATGTGAGGGTCCCATTTCCTATCTTCTCTACGCAGTGCTGAGGGTCAGAAACTTGAGTTTTGCTTAGGTTCATTCCCCATTTCAAACAAGCTGAAATGCTTGTAACCATGTGAACACAGGAACTGTGGCTGTCCAGACCTCAAGGCTTAAGGCTGAAAAGGGGCAGATCCTAATACAAGATCAGGGTTGGAAATAAAACATGACTTCTTTGGGGTATTATTTATGTAACACCTGACCTAAGCAAAGGTTGTTTCATAAAAGGCAGAGCTGGTGGAAAAGTTGAGAAGAGTAGTGACAGAGGCTCACATTCTCATGGAAGAATTGCCCCTTCCCTACTGGATTGGCCACAGGTTGGCTATTTCCTTGCTGCCATGCAGAACAGATGAGCTGGTTGTTGTCCCATACATCCCCCAGGGATTTCTTTGCTGTGAATTAGAAGGGATGAAAAAGCTTTTCATCTACGTCTTCTCAGATTAATGCACTACGGCAGCAGCAAAAGTAAAAACAAAAAAGATACATGTACTCGTCTGTGTTACATAAGAATGTATTTCTGAGTGCTTCCCCTCTGTTCCTGTGAGTTCAAGGCTTATCACATCCTTCAGCAAGCACTGAGGAATTTGAATTTATTTGAACTGAGAATAGTGGCTGCATAGCAGAATGTTAAGCAGCAAGACGGAAAAGACTTTATCTGATGTTTCCCCTTTTTAAGATAAACAGCTAAGTAAACTCTAGCATCCTCTGCTGCTGGCAGACCAAGTGCTTTTCTTCATCGTTAGTGAGTATCTCTGCCAGTTAGTTAAATAACTAGGTCAGCCTGGGAAAAAAACATTTTTTCCGTGGTCTTCTGTGCTGTCCCTCCTGCTTTCCCATGTGTTTCTCTTTCTAAACCATTTCTCAGCTGCCCTAGACAGGAGCAAATTTATGCTTTCCTGATTGGCAAAATCTCCTTCACCGCAGCCACTGAGCTGCCCGTACCAGAGCCTCCGTGATGGCTGGGACTTGGGGAAATTTCCTGCTCCTGTTGCATGGATTCATATTGCAATTGTCTGATGGGGTTAATTATTTCTAATTTGCAGGTGCTCTCAGTGCAGTCATGCCACATGCATTTAGTCTTCTGTCTACTAGCTTGGAGCCAGACTTGAATCTATACTTCTGTATGTGTGAATGGACAGCTATATAGCTTATGCTCTCCCTAACTTAGCCATTCTTTTTCAGGGTTGCCTTCCATTCCCTGCTGCTACTGAGACCAAGAGCTTTTCCTCCTGAAATTTTCTAAGAGCAGCAATAATTTGCATTTTAGTATTAATACGTGGTGTTGATTGCCCTATCATCCATCCATGCCATACATCTCTAGTGTAAAAATTTGGGTTTTGTGAGAGTTTTGGTAGAAAGTTTTAATAGTTGAGCAAGTGGAGAATCCCTTTTGTTCCATTTAGCAACAGTTTCTTTTCTTACGTTTTTATCATTGTGACTTTAATAATTTTATTATTTTTTTTAATGAGCATTGTTGCCTTTTTAAAGCCTAATCTTCCTATAATGAAATGTGTCTCAGAGGGAAAATTATTTGCTAATAATATATTTGTAGGCTTCACTCTGAAAATGAATACAGTGCCCAAACTGTTGGGATTGTCCCTTCTGTGTCAGACCTTCAAAGGCAGCGGGGAACAGGGTGCCTGCACCCAGGGAACCCTGCAGCCCTGTGCTCCTGGGCAGCCCCAAGGGGCAGCATGAGCAGATTTTGACCAACATTGCAGGCCGTATCTGAAGACTGCCTGGATGTGCAATGCCAAAGGATGTTTCTTTGCAGACAGCCTGTTTCTAATAGCTTTGCTTCAATGGCACTTCACCAGCAGTGGGATTCATTAATATTTTATTCATCCCTGATCCCAGAGCTCAATCCCAGGCTCACCTAGGAGCTACACACATGGTCAGGAGATGGGCTGAGGTGCTCGTGCTTCCTCCTCAGCTACACTGAAAGTCAAGTTTGGCAGTGGCTCAAGGTTTAGTTTTCTTCAGAAGCTTAGCAGCAGCTGAGCTCAATGAAGGCAATCAGGAAGCCTCAGCAGGAGGCTGACGTTGGTGTCACCCTCCCTCTATTGAGCTCCCTTTTTTGTTTGTGTCCCTGTTTCTAAGTAAAACCTCCACTTTGAAATGTCCCCATGTAAGACAGTGAGGAGCTACTAAGAGTTTACTGAAGGAATGGCAGCTAAGTGCATGATGGTGTGGGTGCACCTATGGCTTCAGGCCCCTGTGCCCCCTGTCCCTTGTCTGTCCAATGCAGGCAAGCCCACACCTGCCTCTGGCTGCTGTCGTATAGGGGCATTGCCAAGAGAGCTGCTGCTCCACTGACTCGTAGCGTGTCATCTTGAATGGCAGAAAGTACATGGATGGGAGGGGAAGACTCTGGCAAAGTACCAAGAAGGAAGTGGGGGCAATAATGCCTGCGAAAGCTGAACTGAACTGCACACAACGATCCCGCAGAGGTAGGTATCAGGTTGTGTATTTTATGCAGACAATATTGTTAACATGTGAAATGTGCTAAAAGTTGTCTGATAGGATCACCTGGGTATCTCACACATAAATAGAGTGTATCGAGATAGAAGCAGAACAGATGGCCCCGCTCCCTGCACACCTTGCTGACCATCAACATGTACAGCCAAAATCTCACTGTCTTCGAAGCTGATCATCTGCAAAGGCGAGGGTTAGCCTTGTGCTACCTGGTATCTGTAGTGCACTAACACTCTTGGAGCACTAATTAAAATATCCTGGAGAGAGAGCAGAGCCCAGGCTTGCCTGTACTTGTTAATGCCCCAGCAGAGCAAATCACCTGTTGTAGAGCTCAGGCTCTCAAAATCAGTTAAGTTACAAAGAAAAAAAAACCTGAGCTGAAGTCTGATTGACAGTGGAAAGAGCCCAAAGCTGGGGAGCTGGCTCTGCCTGGAGCTGATAAACATGCAACAGGGTCTGCTCCTCACTCTCATCTTTACCTTGGATGCTGCTGAGCCCAAACGTTGCTGTTCAGTGGATTAACCAGGATTGTAAGGCTTTTCATGCCTTCTTGTTGGGTTCAACAGATGTAAAAGGGAATTATCACTTCGATGTGATATCAAGACTTTTTTTTTTTTTTTAAGCTGATGGCAGATTACTAAGGCTGTATTCTTGTTTAATTTTAGTGTGTTAATTGATGGGATAATGAGCATTGATTATATGTGTTTTGGCTGCGTCATTGCAATTACGGGCTCTGTTTTATTCATGAGCCTGTCCTAAAGAACGCGCTAGAGATCTAAGACAGCTTAAACCTCTCAGAAAAAGGCTCTGAATTGTTTGAGTAATGACACTCTTAGATGGAAAATTAAAGGTTCTCTTTTCCCATGCTTTTTAAGATAATTAAAATCCACGAACAGTAAGGTGGTGAACATCCTTATTCATTAGCCTTCGGTAATTTAGCTTCTACTAAATGAGGAAAACATTTTAATTCTCTAGGCCATCTGTTGCAGTCTCCTTTATGTGTCCTGTTACATAAGGACTCATTCTGGGAAATTTTGACATCACCCCATATCCTTTCCCTAGAAGGATGCGCTGGATGAGGTGGCTGCGATTGCTGCCTTTTACCAGCCACCATGGGATGAAAACAGCTGCTCAGTGCTTGGTGTCCCGGCAGGGAATGCTGACCTCTCTAGGAAAGGATCCACAGCAAGGAAGCAGGCAGTGTGACACACAGCCTGTTTTCTAATAGCAAGGTTTGTGCCAATAAATAAAATAAAACAGATCCCTCAGCACCGCCTTGCAGAGGCTGCTTTTAATCCCAAGCATTTACTGATCCTGAGATCACCAGGTATTGCTTCCATTATTTATGGGGCACGGCTGTGGGCAGGCTGCTTGTACAGAGCCGAGCTTGCAGCCACCTGTTTGCTGTTGCTTGAGTTGCTTAGAGATCACAAACGCTGATCACAAGAGCAATGTGCGGCTGCAGAGCCAGCATCCCCAGCACCAAGCATTACTCTGTCAACCCTGCGCCCACCACGAAGAGCCCTCCAGCTACAGCAGGCATGCCCAAGCGGTGAGTGATGGCTTTAATCTTTGCATCTCTAGTGATTTCTGCCTGTAAGTCATTATCTGGGTGTGTATTTCTGCAATTAGCTTTCTGGGACTTGACAGAGGTTGCCATGCCTCTCTCTGGCAATTTAACGATCATCTAAACAGCCCCAGCATTTTCAGTCTGTCCTTGCAGGGGAGGGGTTCCATCCCTGAGCATCCCTAGGATGTTGGTCTTCATGCTGTGAAGGAAAGCTTTTCTCCCTTGGGAAGTCCTGGAATTCCAGGGGATTAAATGCAGTAAACATGAGCGAGGTCATCCAGGAGAAACTATACACATGCATCAGGTGATAACCGTGCCTCTTTTCTCTCTCCCTTCAGCATACCCATAACCAAGCAGCTGGCATCAATAAAAGGTAAGGGGCTCCACCCTCAGTGTTCATGATTTCTCCTCTCCTACTCACCTTTCCCTTAACATCACAGTCAAACCACATCCAGGATCTAACAGTAACTGTGAGCAGGGAGTGTAGGGTTTTCAAGGTGTGGTTTAGGAGCAAGGAGAGAAGCCCAGCCAAATATTTCAGCAAAAATTCCAAATACATCACAAAGCTAGTGTGATGCTCTGCTGCTGATGCTTACTAGTTGGGCTATGGTTCCCTGCCAGGAGTCCTGGGAGCCAACACCTATCAGGAGGTGGCTGGCAGGTCCCTTTGGGGACCAGACAGGCTCACCCTAACCCCTGTCCTTGCCCAGCATACCCCAGCTGTGATAAAACCTGCACTCACTATGGGACAGGAGGTATGGGGCTGGCCCACTCCATATAAAATCTAGGCTAGGTCCTCTGTGGGTATAGACACTTTCAGGCTCATTAACTTTAATGAAATGGCACTGATTGCTACCCACTCAGGATGCTTCTGACAGATTCCTTTCAATTATATCACAAACACTGCTTTTTCTGATAGGCTGGTTACTTTTTTTTCCCCCCTAGCTCTAGAAAAAGGCTCAGACCTTGAAAAAGCTTTTGCTACTGCTGCACTAGTGTATAACAACTCTGCTGACCCTGAGGGCAAACTCAGCAAAGCTGAAACCAAGAGCCTGCTGCAAACCCAGTTTTCAAGATTCATACAGGTGAGAGAATCTGAGCATCTTGGGCCCTGTTCCACTGCTGTGTGTGCATCCATCCATGGGGTAATCCCAGGTGAGATGCCACTAGGCTTGGTGCAAACATCTTTGGTTGATTAGACGTAGTCTCAATATAAAGCGAGAAAATGGAGTTTGGTGAGGAGTGACAAGAATAAACCACTGTTGTTGCACCTGCTTGAGCTCTTGCTAATAAGGCACTGTGATCACAAACCAACGAGGAAACAAGCTCTTGGATGATGACAAGTCCTTGTGCGTTTATGGGATAAGAAACCTATGGCAATTGATTAGGTGGTTGGTGGTTTGCCAGAGCACTGGCCTGATACCAGGAGGGTTGTCCCCATGTTGCAGAGGTACGTATCCCACCAGTGAGCAGCAGGGTGTGGAAAGCTCCTCCTATCCATCTCTCAAAATCAAAAACAACAGGAGTTTTATCTAAGTGGTAAAAATACATTTGTAAAACGAGTGCCTTTTTTGGTTTGGATTGAGGGTTTGAGAGTGTGTGTGTATTTTGGACGTCCCTTCCAACCCCTACAGTTCTGTGATTCTGTGATTTTGTTTGTTTGTTGTTTGTTTTTTAATCAATTAAGTAAGTGAGAGAGATATTTAGGACTAAAACATATGTACCATATGAAGATAAAACATCTTCCATAGCAACAGCAATATCCAGCAGGGTAGAGAATGGCATCCATTGAATTGATGTGTCTTAAAATCCACAGTTCCTACGAACTTAGTCAAGGACCTGTCTCGATTACTAAGGTTGGGTATTTTTTATTCCTTCATCCCCATTTTACTGAGCAACAGGGCTCCATTGCTTCCCAGCAGAGCTGTTGGCACACTGCTGCAGCTACCAGCTGCATGCATCACTGCCTCCTTTTCCGTTGTCATTGGGCATCTTCTGAAGGATGTGTTCTGGATTCACATGGTTGTTCAATATTTCTGATGGAGTTTCTTGGGATAATTTTAGAAAAAGTAGTGTGAGTGTGGACTTGAAAATCTGAATAGGAAGATAGAAAATATGTTAATTGTTACATAGGTATCTTGCTTTGTTGTGGGATTTTTGTGTTTGGTCAGTTGTTTTTTTTTTTTAAGGTGATGCAATAAAAAAGGAGCTTTGTGCTTAATGTTGTTTTTCTCATTGATGATTCTCCACAGGGCCAGGAAAACAAGCCGAAGTACCAGGAAATTATTTCTGCCCTGGATGAGGAGCCAGAGAAGAAAATTGATTTTGAAGATTTCATGATCTCGCTGGTCAGCCTCGCTCTGCTGTCTGACCTGCTGCAGGAGATCAAAAACGTGAAATCCACGAAATGATGAGTGCTTTGTAAGGAAAGCAGGGGTGAAACGCACACTGAGTGCTGCATCCCTTCTGCTCTTGCCTTTGAAATGGAATAAAGCCTTGCCCAAAGCAGCTACCTGTAGGTGATGTGCTGGTTGGGGTTTTTGCTGCTCTAGGAGCTGCAGCCCTGAGCTCTGAGTGCCAATGGAGCAGTATGTATGGGGCTCCCAGTCAGCAGCCAGGGGAAAATCTGCTGCAGGTTTTGGTAAACATTGGCTTGAGTCCATGTGCTTGGCAACCCACTGCTAAGCCTTCTGAATGGAGCTTTATTTATTGATGCATTTGTTTTTATTTCCTCCTCCAGGCTCAATGGGTGACCGCTATGGAAGGAATTTCAAGTCCAGTGTTTGCAGTGGTGTGCTTGTGTAACCAAGGGGTGAGCTAGGTCCATGTGTCAACCGAGTCCATGGTTTCATGAAAATGTGAGGAGAAGAAAGCAGCTAAGGAATAGTCAAGAGAAGGGATGGTGGGCAAGGGGCACCTAACGAAGCACAGGTTTGTTAACAGAGCCAACAAAGCAGTGCAACCCCTTTCATTTCCTTTTCTTCCTAGCTAGAAAAGAAGACAATGACAACTATTTAGCTTTGGTACATAATTTTTTAAACAGGAAGGCATCAAATGCTTTGGTGCTAAAAGAGGGGAAATTAGTGTCAGCTGAGTAACAAGCTTTAACTCCTTGACACGAAAAGGGTTTTAGTGTTCTCAGAGCTAAGAAGATGACTTGTAATGGATTTTGGTGTGAAGAAAGAAGAGCTGCAGCAGGGGGTTGGAAGCCAGCTGTTTTGGGAGAACAGGTCTGCATCATCATGCAGCATGGGATGGAGCTGAGAGGAGTGTGAATAGTTTTCAGAAGGGAGCTCAGCAGGCAAGGTGCTGCTCCATGGGGCTGATTCCAGGGCAAAGATGTTTTCTGGAGGTGAAATATTCGCAGATTAAAGTGAAGATTTAATCTGGTAGCTTCACCTCCAGGAGTATCATGGCTTTGTGTTGGTAATGTGCCCTCAGCCTCTTCTGCCAACCCCTTGTTTTCAGCCCAGGCAGAAGATCTGTGGAATCATACAAAATAAGCAGGTAGGAGAAGGATTGAATGTGAGTCCCTAGAAGGCTTTTCCTATTACTGAAGTACTGAAGACATAGCACTGCTTTGAAAAGCTTGTTTGAGAGACACTCAAACTTTTCAAACCCCAACTTTGAAATAAGGAATTTCTTAATATCCCTCTGTTACAACAAAAGACAAAAAGAACAATACTGTGAAGCCAATTAAGAAAGTGTTCTTTGAAGTTGCTGAGGCCCTAACACAGTTTCTGTTACTGGTGAAAAGTTTCTTAATCTTGCATGACTTGAATTAATGACTTAAGAGCCTTTTATCAGATCAGCTCACTCTGTCATCTCATCATGTGCAAACCCTTCATATTCTAATGCAGCTGGTGTGATGCACTAGTGTTCAGACTGCCTGGATTCCATCCAAAGACTTTGTGCAATGCGCAGCAGAAATCCAGAGTTGGAAGCATAACTCAATATTGAAACGGTCAGGAGGGAATCAGAGGTGCAGAGAAACTGTGTGCATGTAGCAGAGCTGGAGCTGGGTGCCAGAGCTTCACAGGAGTGTAGTGATTGTTTCTGAACAGCATGAATGGGATGTGCAGGTCTCCATCTGCATTCATCTTTGACAGCCCTGCCTGATGCTCTAAAGCAGGGGAATGCAGGAAGATGTTAGTCTGGATATTAGGAGAAAGTTCTTTCTCAGAAAGAGTGCTGAGGCACTGGCATAGGCAGCTCAGGGAAGTAGTTGTCATCCCTGTAGGTGTTGAAGAGCTGTGGAGATGTGGACACTGAGGGATGTGGTTGGTGAACATGGTGGGGGTGGGCGATGGTTGGGTTAGATGATCTTAGTGGTCTCTTCCAACTTTAATGATTCTATGATTCTAAGAGCCCCAGCATCTCCTTCTAGACTGCAGTAGGCAGAAGTTTGCAGCTCGGCTGTGGAAGATGCTCTTTTATTAGCTCAGACTATTTGCGGCCGCCCCGAGCACTCAGCTGACAGCTTTGAAGCTGATCTGGCACAGACAGCATGTCTGGCTGCATCCTTGGGGAGCTGGCTAAAAGCTTGCTTAAAAGGCTACCGTTGTGCTTTATTTCGTTCCTAGCTTGCTTCTATTGGAAGTGATGGGAGTTCATCATCGATTTCTCATAGCAGAGCCCATGCAAGTGCTAAGGAGTAGGCAGCTAAATTGATGAGATGCTAAATTGCATCTCCTCTGCAAGTGTGAACGTCCCATAGCTGATGTTCAATAGCTGATTCCCCCCCCTTGAAGTGAAGGCAGCTTGAAGAGCAGCTACTCAACACCTGACCTCTGTGGGCTTGGGCTTGGGAAGCTCTGCAGGCTTTGGATCTCAGTTTTAAGTTCTGTTCTGAAAGCTCTGAGTCATACCTGCAGGTCTGCGTGCTTCCAAATGACTGCCAGAGGAGAAATAGGGGTCAAGGAAGCTTCATCCTCAGATCTTTGGCTCAAGAGGATAGAGTAATTCTCATACTCCAATTAGCACACCCAGGTCAATAGGTTCTTACTTTATATTTGGATTTAAATCTGCAGCCTGCTAGACTTGGGAGGCTGGGACAGTCTGACTCTAGCCCAGTCTCTGCCAGGAACCCGAGGCCACGTGCACTGGGCTTGCAAACTTTCACAAAACTTTTAGTAAAGAGAAACGTGTTCCCCAGCTGGCTCACTGTTCTTGTACCCTCAGCAAGACCTGGCTGAGACCCTGGGGCTGAAACCTTACAGTCTGAGGGATGTGTTGCTGGGTGTCTCCTTGCCTCAAGGTGTTTGTCACTTTTTTGTGTGTGTTGAATAGAACTTCTTAGTCCACCACAGCAGCAGATAACTCCACTCCAGCCCTGGGAGCTCACTTCAGAGCAGATGACAAGCTTTGTCCCAGAATTATGTACTCTCCAAAGCACTGCAGTTTGTGAGCCACAAAGGAGCATTCAAACACCAATGGAAGAAAGAAAACCTCTTTGTTTTGGGTTCAGTCAGGGAAGCTAGATAAAGAAGAAATGGTGTTTTTTATGGTGCTCTGAACCAAGAGCTTATAATTCCTGTACTGACTTTTACTGCAGCCAGTAGTTTACATGGTTTCTGGTGAAGCTACATCTTCTCTCCTTGCTTGTCTGCTGCTCCCTCATCCCACAAGTGTTTATAGCCCTAGCTCTGAGTCTTCCTCCAGCAAAGGCAAACAGTGCACTGTGTTCAGCAGCCAGATACATCAGCCTGTCTTTCTAATCCCCAGCTGCACAAATCAGCCATTAGACTTAGATAGATTCAGAGCCACAGGACTTATCTTTTATTCATTGTTATTGAAGGAGTGAGTTTATGTTATGCACATCCACAACAAGAGCCAGTCTTAATCTCTGACATGTAACAAGGACGTGAAAATGTGATCCCCAAAATGAAAATAAAGGAATTCATGGGAGCAACCCTAGGGCTAGCCCTAGTGCTGGGTGTCTGCAGCAGAATCTCCCTGAAGGTGTTCAAGAGAAGGGTAGACACGGCACTGAGGGACATGGTTTTGTGGGTATGGTGGGGATGGGTTGATGGTTGGGCTTTGTGATTTTAGTGGTCTTTTCTAACCTCAGTGATTCTGTGCTTGTTGTGCATAGTTGGTGTAATGCCCTTTTCACTCTTCCTCCTATTCAAAGGTTCTGAAAAAGCCAACTTGGGCAGCGGCAATCACTTCTGGGCCAAAACACAAGTTGGGTTGAGCACAACTTCTTTCTTCTTCCCCTTTCTCCACGGTCTGCTCTCCTCACCTGCTGTTTTCTAGATTTTATTTTTTTTTTCCATCTGGAGATGCACAAGGCACATCACACACTGCTGAAATCAATGAGGGTTTGAGATCCTCAGGCAGACTTGTTTCAGGCCCTCCAGCCCAAATGGGTGCAGAAGCTCATTAGTGGATGAAATCAAGCCCTTTTTGACCTGTTTGACTTGTGATGATCAATAACTGACAAGCAGGATCCATGAAGCTCTTCCACCCTCACAACCCCCTAGCAGCAAGCAGCAGCTGCTCAGCCTTAGGGTACCCTCATGCCACCAGAGCAGAAGACAGCAAGTCACAGTGAGCAATCTATGCACAAGTCTTGCCTTACCACTCATGATTTCTGCAGGGCTGAGTAAGGGTCAGTCAATGCTACCAAACAGCGAGCTCTCTGGGAAGGCAGCTAAAGCTAACGTAACTTTCGGCTGGATAATTTCGTGAGTGTTCACTCTCTGCTTCAGTCTGAACAATGAAGCTGGGCAGTACTGGAAATAAACCAAGTATTCCTACATTGGAGACAAGCAGAAAGATCTACAGCCCAGTGCTGAGATTTTCCCTTCTCCAAAGGTGTCCCATGGCCCTCCATCTATTCCTGTGATTCTTGTTTCTAGGAACACATGCTGGTCTACATTGGCTTCTGGGCTGTTGGAGGAAGTCTGTGTACAAATGCCAACCCATTTCCCACACCTGCTAGTGGATGTTCTTTGATTTAGTTCTGTATTTGTGTCCAGCTTCCACCTGATGCCCTTTTGGGGTTTGTTTGGAAACAGCATACACCAATAGTCACTCAGGTTAAGCCTCATGGGGTAGGTTGCTCTTGATAAGGTGTAAACACCACTGTGCTCAGCAGGTGTGACTCTGCACCAAGGGAAGACTACTAACAGGTGATCTCCTTTTCCAAGACACTGCAACTAGTGCCAGAGTTTGCTCGGGTTCATGACCCCACTCTGAGGGTTTTATAGGATTTTGTCTAATTAACTTAAGAAAACAAATTGCAAAATTACCTTCTTACTAAACTGCTCTCACTATAAAATAAGGCTGATTACCTCCCTGACAAACTTTAATTAGGCAGCTACAATAAGCTGTAATACAGACCACAAATTAAAAACAGATTGTATTAGAGGTGGCTTTGTCAAATCCTGTATTAACACTGGGCAAC